AAATGACTATTGTACAACGAGAATCAGCTATGCTCTTCTGGCGCGACCGACCTTCGAATCTCTTCATTAAGCGGATACGAAATATAAGTCACCCCAACAATAGTAACCTGGCCGATTAATCGAAACCCAGTTACTCTTCGTATCTTCGATGTTTATTAAACCCTGAATAAACTCTGAATAATTATATGGACCAGCTTCTCTGCGTGATTTAGGGCTAGATTCTTCAATAGTAGGAATGATGAAATTGTAGCAGAAAACTCAATTTTATTCGTGTTTCGATTTTAAGTGAGATTACTTTTTTGATGCGTATTTATGACAAAACCATTAATTATGACGATTTGGCCTGTGTTTTTAGCGTCTGATGCTAACCTGCTGGGCCCCCTTGATTGCGCAAGGGGTTAGAGACTGCGTAGCTGCTGCTTCTTCCGGTCTGAGTCTTGTTTAGCGAATGTTCTGAGTGTTCAATCCCCAAACCTGGCCTTGCGGATGCCGGTGCCATCACAACCGACCTTGCCGATGAAACGCTAGAGTCACGTCCGCGCGAAGACGACCTCGGTCTGAGGCCCGCCGGGGGCGGCCCTGTGGTCTGGCGATTTCGGCTGCCCCAATGCGACGTGTCAGCAACTCCGCTGTCACTCTCTCTGGGACGAGATTCTGCATCCTCCACTTGATCTGGCATTCTTTCCTCCTCTTCGTCCTCTCTGATATCACCCTCTCCGGCTTCTCCTTCGCCTGCATTCCCATTCTGCGGACAGCCCTCCCGCCGCCTCCGCGATTTATCGGATTCCCAAGCTCCTCCTCCTCCACCTCCATTGCCACGTGGCTCTTCCCCACTTGTCACATTGCGCCGGATCAACGTGGAGATACGCGCGCCGGATGACCGGTAATTAGACGCAGCTGCAGTCAAGACTGCTTGGGTGGATGTGACGGCGTCTATCGGCGGATCGAATGTAGCCCCACGAGATGCGGAGCCAGAGAGGTGGAGCTCGCGAGGATTGTCCGTGTCTGGCGGCTAAGCAAATAAATAATATATTTTTTTCGTATAAAAGTAGAGTTTCGAGACTACCAGTAAATCAGTTATATGGGATGTATTCACCCTATTTCGTTTTAAGGTGATGAAAGACTGGTAGTAGAATTTTCCCACAATGCTATGAGTGGAGCTGACGTTTCCATTGAATTTCTACTACCAAACCTTCATAACCTTAAAACGAACTATGGTGAAG